TGTTTTTTGCGTATAGGTTGTAAATCGTATATAGATTATAACAATAAATAATAGTATATCTAACTTTAGAGGTAGTGACATAATTATTCTATTTCTAACCTGATAGTGGAAAAGCAAGAAGTTTACATTAGCTTCGAGTAGTTATCATTTCAAAGGAGTGATCCACTTTTGACAATTACTAATTAGAGTTGAACGTGTATTGCACGTTATTCTGAAGCACTGTATAAGTTTTGTAAAAGTAATATTTGATACCAATTTGTTGGGAGGATTTGACGAATCTCAAACTGAACTAAAAAACATAATATTTAGGATAGAAATTTAAGGGAAGAAAATTGTACTTTCAAAACTCAACTTCAATTATTCAAATTTTTTGTAATGATTAAATATTACAAATGAGCAACATTTTTATCTACATGTGGCTCGCGTTTGATAGGGATTAAAATCAAATTTTTAATAGATTTTGATAAAAGTTGTTCAAATGTGTAATCAAAAAATTGTGAAATTCATAGAATGTGTGATTAAAATTAATTATTGATTTTAACTTACCAAATATGGGATTAGTACATAAAAATTAATTGTTAATACATAAATTTAAACATCCACTAAAATCCCTAGATACACGAATAGAAATAAATTCATTTATAATAACTCTATATTTATGTAGATCAAAATTTATCAAATCAAGATTCATTGAATCTAAATTAATATAAATGTTAATTAAGAATAAATAACACGAAATTCATATACGACGAAAATTTTGTAGTATTTATTACATATTGAAATAGAAAAATGAGGTATTATTGAAATAATCTAATTGTAATAGGGTTAAAATCGTCCAAAAATGATTCTCATTTGATTTGATATTTAATGGTGTGTTTGATGGATATTATTTGAGACTAATGGTACGTTTGAGTCACATTATTTTGGAAGAGGGAATAGCAGATTGATGGAGAATGTGTGGTTGAAAAAGAAAGAAAAATTATTGATGTGATGAAAAATATTATTTTATTGAAGAATGTGTGCTTGAAAATGAGTAGAAGAATGAGAATGAAAATTTTAATGGGTGTCAAACAGGGGCTTAATAGATTATAGATAGATTTTTTTTTTTTTTAAGTGATGGGACTTTTTATGGAATTCGTGAACTTATAATAAATTTGTATGAAGTCAGTAGAAGTCTTTTGTAGACTTCTATAAACTTTTATTTTAAAATTTTTATAGACTTTTAGAATTCATGACTTTTGAAATTTTTTATTTAAAATAAAATTTACTTTGATTTTGTGCAACGGAGAATTCTCATTTCTCACATGGGAGGTGGATGATAGATTCCTCTACTTCCCCCTCTTTCATGTAATAAAAAATATTTTTGGAAAAAAAAAATCTATAGAGCATGTTTGAACCCAATTTTATTGTAAAAATGTATTTTAAAATATAAGATGTTTGGTTAGAAAATAAAGAAAAGTTTTAAATTTGTGTGTAATATTATTTTATTGAATAATGTAATTGAAAAGAAAAAAGAAAAAAATATATTTTGAAAATATTGAAAATCAAACAAAGGCTTAATATTTTAGTATTTTTTTTTTTTAAAAAAGAAATATCTATGTTCAGTATTATCAATATGTCAAATCTTAAAAAAAAAAATATTAATATACTTAAAATTTAATTAAGTATTTGTCTCATTTTTTATATTAAAATTTTAAAAATACAAATTGATCTTTTACACATAAATTAGATAAAAAAAAAAAAGACAAAAACTATTATAAGAATTTTTTAATTACAATTTAATATTTTTGTAACAAATGGAGGGAAATAATAAAAAGAAAGGAAAAAAAGGGAAAATAGAACAAATATAAACGCTAGAAGAAATAATATATTTTTTAAAAAATATATATTTTGTGAAAGTCTCCTATAATCTTGGGATAAATAGGAGACAAATTCTGAAACTTCATTTTTGTATTTTCTACTTAAAAGCTAGTACTTCAAAGAATTCTTTAAGATCTTGTTTGATTGCAATGAATTTCAAGAAAAATGTCACATGCGAGAAAAACGAATTCAACTTTGACCGTTTGATTGCAACGTGAAAATGGAAACCGAATTCCAAAGTACAATTACTTTAAACTGCATTTCCTTTATTTTCATGGAAAACGAATTTTTATGAGTTTGATTAATTTCTATTTTCCAACTAATATGGAATTAAAATTCCTTTCCACATTTGTCTATCAAGCGGATACTAAAAATCTTTAAAGTCACTTATATTTTGAATACCCCATGACTTATTGAGACTCCTAAAAAACTCTTAAAAACCTTTTAGAAGTCAATAGGCTCCTATTTGCTAGTGATTAAAATTTAGATTTTAATCTAAATCTAAGTCAATAATCAATTTTAACCATATATTTCATGGGTCCCACAACTTTTCGAACACATATTTCATTAACTTTTATCAAAATGTACTAAACAACTGATTTTAATCCCTACCAAGCATGTGCTAAATATCTCCATTGAATATATTGATTCTTTTAATATTGAATACATTTAAAATTTTTAAATCTTTCAAAAATTTTAAAAATTCCAATTGAATATACCCTTAGGATCCGTTTGATTAGTAAATGTGAAAATGCTTTCAAATTTCATGTAAATTGCAAAATAACAATCCAAATACCCCATAAGAATGCATTTTTCATGAAATTGACAAAAATAAGATTAAAGTGGTTGTATCTTAGAATTCGAACTTCATTTTCACTTTCGTATCAAATAGTCAAAGTAGAAACTGAATCTTTCGAACGTGACATTCTCCATGGAATTTAAACCAATCAAACGGACCCTTAGTATTTTTTAGTCGCATTTCAATGGTTGTTAGACCTCTCACTTGAATGTAAGACTAATGTGTTCGTATCACATTTCACCGATTCAACGTAATCAAATAGAAAATTTATTCCTTTCTAAACGACTAAAAATATGAGGTTTATTGTACAATATCTACGAAGGATCTTATCATGGTGTCATTGAGGTATCTATGATATTATACAAGATTGAATAAGATAATTGATGAAATGTAAAAAAATTATCTCCTTTAATTCTACTTAATATTTGTCCATATCAAACATAATCATATCTTCCTATGAATCGAGCTGAACAATGGTGGTGTGGGCCCTGAACAATGACATTAGGGCCACCCAAAAGCCGTCGATAATTGACCGTCCAGACTCCAAACCAAGAAAGTCCCACAAACCGCACATCAACTCAATCGGCAAGACGGCAATTCAGCATCAGTTTGTTGCGGACTTCTTTTTCATTTTATGGTTTGATATAATCTTCTTTTCTGCCTAAAAATCTGTTGTTTCACATTACAATCGGGTCTCTTTACACTACGGAATTTTTTGTACACGTCTCTATTCTTCTCTACAAGGCTGAACTTCCTGTCCAATCCAACCATGCACTAATTACAGCTTTCTTCAGTTTTATTGAGGTAAAATAAATTAACAAAAAGTTGATTCATCTTTTTGATCGTATTTTTTTCCTGACAATAAGTCGGGTTTTCTAATAAATTCCCATTTGTTTTTTCGGTTCTTGATTGTCCCTTCTTGAATTTTGATTGATATATCGAGTTTTTGAATTCTTTTCAGGTATAATATCTATGATTTCCATGTAATCTAGGGTTGTTTAATGGTCACCTCATTTATTATCGAAGATTACTTTCTTTCTCAACATTCAATTCAATATTCTTCGGTATTTGTGAACCCTGAGATTAGATTTTTAGTTCTTAAATTTGATATGAATTTTCGTTTTGTTTAATCTAATATGTGTTTGATTCTTGTTGAAGAGAGTGAAGTGTAATCTTTGCTTGAACTAGTCGGTGGCTTGATTGTGATAAACGTGTTTCTTTAGGAATAGAAAGTGTCAAGCAATCAAACAAAGTAAAGTAAAATTATATTTTTGCTTAATAAAAACAAAAAGAAAACCCACCCTTTAATGAGCCTGAAAGATTCTGGGGACGTGAACTTTGATCATGTAAGTCTCTTCTTTCTTTATTTTTGTCATATTTCATTGTGGTTTGTCCTTGCTGTGCGCTGACATGATCATTCATTTAGGTCATCTTGTAGTATATTCTGAAGAGAAGTTGAATTTTTGAAATGCCTTCTATGATGAATCACTTCTTGCTTGTTGACTTTGTGAGTCTGTATCGTTGAATGCGTAAATTGAGCCCTATCCCTTCACATTTTACATGTGTTCACAAGTCCTTAACGAAACTTGTAAGTTGTATGGACTGATGTTTTATTGGGTTATCCTTTGGTTTTAAACATGTCAGATATATACATGTATATGGCGCTTTTATTTTTTATACTGCTTGGACACTATTTATCATTCTTTTTATTTCAACCCACCAGCTGAAATTGTTGCTAGTATCATTGAACCTTCTGCCTTCTATATTGGTGCTTCTACACCTCAGTTTCCCTTCCGTATTGGTTAATAGTTTGTCCGTGTTACCAGTGGAGTTTACTTGCATCAGTTGTATGTAATCAGTTTCGAGACCATCAGTCTCTCCCATGGATAAGATTTTTATGCGATCGTGAATAGCATTCATTAAATATATCTTAGGGATTCACTTTCCTTTCCAAGTTTGGGCTTCATTATATCTATTTGTCTAAGTTGATGTCATCAGATGCTCTCATGTTATTAAGTTGTTTTGTATAAAAAATTTCTTAATCTCCTCCATCTCATTCACTACCGTTTTTGAAGTCTTATTGGTTTTGGTTCAATTTAGGTTATTGCTGATATTTATGAAATATGCTTCTCACCGTTTTATGCATGTCATGCATATTTTGTTAACCTTGGGTTGTTCAGCTACTTCACTTGTGCAGTTTTTTTGCTGTTTCAATTAGTATGGGAAGAAAATCCATTATATAGATAGATTGTGTTTGTCTTCTTAATAAATATGAACTAAGTCGGAGGTTTGGTGTATAAACTATGTTATTACCAGGAATAAAGGGTCAATACATCATTAAATGGACGGATATTCAGGTAAAAAAGCTCCTTGTGGGGTTGTCCCCAAAAAAGGGTCTGGCATTGGTTTGAAAGATATTGCTAAGAATACAGATCAGAGAGCTCAATTCTGCAGTCGACTGGGATGCAGTGGCAGAATTAAGTGCACTCAGATTACCAAAAATGGAAGCTCCATTAAAGCTAAATGTTTGAGGCCTTCAGTGCATTCTTCAAATGACAAGAAAATAATTGGAAATCCCTCTAGGACGTGTCCTGTTGTGACCAGTGCAAAAAAATCAGGTCCTGATTCTAAGAGAAAGTTCTCTTCTCAATTAGAAATTGATCCATCAGAAAGCAGTGCTTCAGGTGAGGCTCCGGACCCTATGCCTTCGCCAAGTAGAACTCAAACAGCACATCACTCAGAATCTAGAGATGCCAAGACTCGAAAGGGTACGGTGATGGATACAGGGAGTTCTAGAGTAACATCAACTATTAAGCCAAGAACAATATCTAATCGTAATTCTGGATCATGCAGCGAAAGCAATCAGCTAGATTCTATTCCACCAGTTTCTGAAAGTTCTGGCCTTAGAGCAAAGAACTGTAGTAGTAGGAGCAGGTATGGTTTGAGAAGTCTAAAGTGTAATTCAATGTCGGATGTCATTCCACAAAGTTTTTCAACCTCAGATTCCAAACCTAATACGAAGGATGTAGTGAAAAAAGGAAATCCAGGAGGGCAAAGCATTTCATCTCCTGGATTGAACCAAACAACTGTAGCCTCGTCCATAGTCGGAAATGTCGCCCCGTCAAATAGTGGTATCTCCATATCTAGTCCGAGACACAACAGAAGTTGGGCTCATAGAGAGGAGGGGAATGGAGTTGCATCTGTCCGCACTCGGAGGTTAACAAATATAAACACAACACCTAGACATTCTAATCAATATGATGGAAACAGTTCCTCATTAAGAGAACCAGTGTTCCGGATTTCTCAGTTATGTCGGCCTGAGCTACCAGTTGATGCTGGCGGTCACAATTCCTCTCAACACTTCTCTGCAAATGTTTCTTCAATTGGTTCAAGTTCGTATAGTCTTTCGAGTAGTAACGGCAATAATCTCTCCAGTGTAATGCCTGCAGAATTGGGCATTACCCATTTAATGGATCGTATGACATTGCAGCGACTTAATATTGGTGGAATTGCTGAGGTATTGCTCCTGTAGTACATAATATTCCCATGAATTTTTCCCTTGTATGAGATTTAATGATGCCACCGTGTTTGATTAGATTTTCCTACGAGATTGTGATGTATTGTATTTTTTTCTCACTAAGCAGGTATTATTAGCAATTGGAAGACTTGAACAAGATGAAGAACTGATTAGTGAGGTAATCAATCTTTATTTACTTGCAACTTATGCGGTTGGAATTCATAATTAATTTGTTCTCTCTCTGCAGCATATTTCTGCCTTGGAGATCAGTTTACTCAGTGGGCTCAACCATTATTATGACCAACATAGAGACATGAGACTTGACATTGATAGTATGTCCTATGAGGTTCGTTTGTGAGGAGTCAGTACTCAATTAGTTGGCCTTATGCACTATGCAAAGTTAATTGATTCTGATCTAAATCCTTTTAAGATTATGGATTAATGTAATTGGATCTTAAGTTGATGTTATTGGATTTTGATAACGATAACAATAACAATAACATGACCCTCGGTGTTCTATGGTATCTTTAACAGGAATTATTAGCTTTGGAGGAGAGGATAGGCACCGTTAGCACAGCGCTCTCTGAAGAGGAATTGACAAAATGCCTAAGGAAAAGCTGCTATCAAGCTATCCCTTCTGAAGTACGGGACACTGGATCTTTGGAGGATGGCAATGACACCAAGTGCTGTATTTGTCAGGTCCTTTTATTTTGTCATCAGAATTTTCCACTGATAATTATCTTAGTTTGATTTTCTGCACCTCCCTCTTCCAACAACCCAACCCACTAACACACTCCAAATTAATAGAAAAAAATAAAAAAGAAAGGATGATGCAAAGGTTCTACATAAATACTTAGCCCATGTTCGGTAGAAATTAAAATCTAGATTTTAATCTAAGTCAAAGTCAACAACTAATTTTAACCACACATTTCATCAATTTTTATCAAATTCTACTAAAAATCTTATTTTAATCCCCACCAAACAAGGGCTTAATAATAGGGGAAAAAACTTAGAAATTATTTAAATGTGACATTATTTTTCTAGTGAAAAGAAAGCAACTACCATTCTATAACTTGGTCTCCAGTATTGAGTACAACTGCACCATGGTCCAGCCCCATTGAATTGCATTTAGGTTTGTCCTTCCGTGGAATAAAATAATAGTCAAAAGTGCAGTTGTTCCTGCTGCTTTGTCAATTCCATCAAGCCTCCTTCCCTAGAAGACTTGCTTATTTCTTGAGGTTTAGCTAGCTTATAGAACACGGTATCTTGGATCTTATTTAATCGAGTTAATTTATTGCAAATATCATCTCTGATAATTTTAGATCATGTCAAAGCTTATTTTCCTCATGGATCTCCATATTGTCAAAAAAATTTACAACAATTGAACCTTGAATTCCATTGACCTGTTTTTGGTATTGTCCTTGTCATATCTCCATAGCATGTCTGTGGTGTCTAGATTGGATTTGAAATTTTTGCAAAAAACTCGAGCTTAACATTTTGTAGTGTTGTGGCCCAATTTTGTATATAAATTCGCAAGGACAAATTATTGAGCCAAGATGCAGATCCATTCAAGCTTTGCGCTTCTAAATTTGTTGGGATGTGATACAACCAGTACTCCCTGACATTTGCTGAGAATGGCTTGTTAAAGAATATTTAACTCATTAGACAAACGAACTAATCTTAAACACAGTTTGGGCTATGTCGATTAATCAGGACCATTTCATAAACTAATATGCAGAATGATAAGCTTCCTTAGAAATTAACCACTCTGGGACAACCTGCTGCTGAGCTCAATGCATATTTTTCCATCCATTTTTGGTGTAGAAGACAACATAACATATTCATGTTCTGCAGGAGGAGTACGGATTTGGTAATGAAATTGGTACATTGGGATGCCAGCACGGGTATCACATGGCATGTGTCGTACAATGGTTGCGGCTGAAGAATTGGTGTCCCATCTGCAAGATTTCTGCATCTCCCTCTCAACCATCTTAGTTTAGTTCAGTGTGGACTATGCGTTGGGGAATGTTTGAAGTACTCGTGTACATATCAATATCTTTCTTCTCTTTTACCTTTTTATGTTTTGCATCCTCGATAAACGTCCAGGTTCTAAGAACTTTGGTGAAGATGTGTATAATATACTGGTTTCGGTTCATGAATGCAAATTCTTCATCTAATTTCTTTTGCAGAAGTGTTTGGAGGCTCATGATCCCGTACCACATGATAACATAATGGGGGTGTTACAATTTTGAGGTCGAGTTATTTGAATATCGAGTCTTCTATACGAATTTACTCGAAGCATATGGAAAAAGTGAAAAATTAGCTTTTACAATCTTTGCTAGTTTACCTATTCAACATATTTCCATAGGTCAAGTTTACTCCACACTTATTTACTTCACCAATCAACATTGACTTGCATTATGTATATATTTACAGTGAACAAACTTAAAACATAGATATATATTTACATGTACTCTTACTCAAGCTGGTCGAATTGTCTTTTGGAATACATTCTCGCGTGGACAAGCTTACTTGACTTACAGCCCCTGTATAAATGTGTTGTTGAAAATGAGTTTGAAAAAAAAGTTATTTTACAAAACGAGGGCCAAATAGGGACCTAATATCTCTACTCAAGCAGCTTGTCCACCCTATTTTTCAAATGAAAAAATTTGTCATCATTAAAATGTGATTTGTAATGAAAGGTGTAATTAGTGAGATTAAAACAATCATTTCATCAAGCTTTAGTTATGAATGTCAATGGAGATGCACAATCTGCAGACTTTGTTGGTGAGAATCAAGTTAAGATTCACAACCTTTAGTAGTTGGATATAATCTAGTACAGTTAATGGAGCAGTCAAATATCTATTGACCTAATATAGTCCCCGTTTGGCACCCTTTTTTTTTTTTTTTTCTCTTTCTTAATTATAACAATACATTTTTTAAATAAAATAATACTACATAAAAATCTAAAACTTTTATTACTTTTCAACCTCACGTTCTTCCATCAATCACTATTTTAAAATTTATAATATACCCAAAATGAGTGCCAAACCCATGCTAAACCTCTTGTGATAGGGGAAGAGCCACCAAGAAAGACTACCAAAATTGGTTATTTGGGGAATCTTGCAGCCGTTTATTTATTAAACAAAGACTATAAAATGCTTAATGGCACTACAACTCTTTTTAGAGGAAATTGCAAAAATGTCCAAAATTTCTTCAATGTTCATTTTACTATAATATAGACCAAAATAAAACGGGTTTCAAACAATGGCTTATTTACGTCACCAATCAACATTGACTTGCATTATGTATATATTTACAGTGAACAAACTTAAAACATAGATATATATTTACATGTACTCTTACTCAAGCTGGTCGAATTGTCTTTTGGAATACATTCTCGCATGGACAAGCTTACTTGACTTATAGTCCCTGTATAAATGTGTTGTTGAAAATGAGTTTGAAAAAAATGTTATTTTACAAAACAAGGGCCAAATAGGGACCTAATATCTCTACTCAAGCAGCTTGTCCAACCTATTTTTCAAATGAAAAAATTTCTCATCATTAAAATGTGATTTGTAATGAAAGGTGTAATTAGTGAGATTAAAACAATCATTTCATCAAGCTTTAGTTATGAATGTCAATGGAGATGCACAATCTGCAGACTGTGTCGGTTAGAATCGAGTTCAAGATTCACAACCTTTAGTAGTTGGATATAATCTAGTACAGTTAATGGAGCAGTCAAATATCTATTGACCTAATATAGTCAGTTGGGTTATGAAGTGTGATTTCTAAATCTATTCAAATAGTCGAAAGTAAGTATTTTAATATCAAATTGATAAAAGATACTACTTAATTTGATTAAATATCGATTGTGGTAGAATAAACTTGTATTTGGATGATTTTTTATGAAAAAAGCGATAATAGGCCAAAGAAAAAGGAAGAATTTTAAAGTTCGAAAACTAAATCGCAAACGTGTAAAAAGTTGATTTGGACCTTGGAATGATGTAGAGGTATCAAATGGGAAGAATTAAGAAGATAGGATGAAAATTGCATGGAAAATGATCAATTAGAAAGGATGAAAAGTTAGGAACCTACTTGATCCCAAAAAAGAAGCATGTGATTGCACGTTGTGAAGCTTTGCAATTGCACCGTCTCCTCTGGTAGAAAAAGAGAACATATGGGATGTGCTATACGATCGCAGTTCCTAAATGGATGCGATCACATAGTATTAAGTTGACAGATGAAGTTATTTCCTTATTTGATTCAACTACTTTATGGAACCACTTTGAACGCAACTCTGATCTAAATATAGACGCTATAAATATGAATTGTCAGCCAACTATTGAAGGTGCCGCTTAGGCCCATGAACCAAAATAATTTAGCGAGAAGCTAAATGTTAATTTATCAATAGGTTGGGGATTGGGAGTGAAATTTTTCAACATAATGCTACAACATAAGCTATATGAAATATTTGATATTTCTAAATTGTGCAATCAACTCGAATATGAGGCGCCGTCAATTTGTTTAAAAATATAAATTTGAATCAAGACAACCAAAATCATGCGACCTAAAATTGGATAGTAGAATTGTCATACTACTTAACATTTTTTTTCCAAAGTCAAATGAAAATGATATTCAATTGTAATGTCCATATTGTTAATTTCGATCATGTAAGTACTAATAACTTTACTTTTGAAAATTGAGGATCAATAACCACACGCATGTTAGAGGTCGAGGGCGGGACCATAATTTTACCATTTTCAGGTGTAAGGCTATTCCCCTAATTCACGCTTACCTCGGAAAATGCGTTATTTCACTTACTTTTAACATGAATTTCCGAATATGTTCCGTTTACTGTAATTCATATCCATACCGCATGAACGGCCCTTTGAAATTTCCCTTGAAATATATCAACTCTCCCATTCCCAATGAAATCCGGGACGGAATCCCAATTCGGCGCTGGTGGAAAAATAGTAACTAACCGCCGAAAGAAGCGGCTCGCCGTCACACCCTACGACCGGCCGTCGCCTCCTCCTCCTCCCCGTGCCAGAAGCCCTAATTGGTTTTCTGGCGTAATTATACCATCTGCACGTGCAATTGCTTCCGGTGCTGGGAAAATCATTTCTTCTGTGCTCTATTCTGATTACTCTTCATCTGAAGAAGAAGAAGATGATGATGATCTGTCCGATTTTGGTACACTATCGTTCTCTTTCACTTTTAACCTGTTTTTTGGGAGTGCTTATTTTTTGTTTTGAGCGTGTTTAGTTGTTTTATGGCGTAGTTTAGTGTAATTATTTTTCAGTATGTTTTGATATCTACGCTACACTTCTGAATTCAAATTTCACGACGAGGATATATTTGTCTAACTCACGTGAAGAGCGAGAACGAGATTGTGAGAGCACCTCTTACAGCATCTTTCCCCGTGCTGCTTCGACAAAAGCAGCTTTTATTGGCAGTATCATATTTGATAATGCTGAGAAAGCCACAAAAGTACCCTAAAATTGGTTTCTTTTGTGGCCTTTAAGCTAACCATGCGAAATCTGATGTAAAAGATGTTATGTGATATTGTTTTGGTATGAAATTGCTGCATTGGAAGTAACTGGTACTTTTGATTCTCCCATATATATTAAGTCATTGTACTATAGTAGCACACAAGAAACATTCCCTCATAAACAAAAAGAAAAAACTAAAGAAATAATAGAAAATATAAATATTGCTCTATAAACTTCAACACGTCAATGACTAGTTGAACCATGGCAAAAAATTTCTCGTTTGTCAATATATATATATATATATATATGTATTTTTTTTTTTTGTCAATTTTATTGGTAAATGATAGAATGAGAGAGACAAAAATGGATAAAATTGGAAAACATGAGTTTTCGGTAGAAGGGCTGATTGGATTTTCTTTCTCCCGGCTGTTTCTTTCTCTCTTCCTTTTTTTATTATGGTGGTTGAAAAGCAATGATGTTTTGTGGGAGTTAAGTCTTTGTCCTATAGGATGTTTCCTCATTCATTTCCTGGATGATTTGATAGGATCAAAACTAGACCATTTCATACGCATTTACAGTCCAATATGGAAGACTAAGAGTGTCCTTTTCTTGCTATATTTATTATGAAATCACTTCATCCCAACTTGTATAGATGCATGGATAAATTTTTGGGATGAGGTTACATATATTTTTTTTGAGCTACGTGTATAACTCGTATGGGTTGCCTGCCCTACTCTGTAGTAAAAGGTTATTTGAAATGAAAATTGTATTTGGTTACTTTTAAAGGAGTTGCTCATTAAACAGGAAACAAAGGGAAAACAGTCACAAAAATGGTTAAAGGAGAAGAAATCTTTCTATTATACCGACTCTTTTGAATGTTTATGATGATCATGTCATGAAGTTACTTCAAAGATATAAGATAAGTTCAGGCGTTGAAGATGTTAGCTTGTAGAATTATTAATAATCAAGGTAAACTAAGAAAAAAAAAGTTTTGTTGCGTTGGCAAAATTGAGAAAGGAATATTCCACCTTGATGCATTGGTGAAAGTATGTGATTTTGTGTGCCTGCAAAGAGTGATGCTCTTTAATCAGTGTAAAATATCAACCTTTGAACATCAAAGACACTTGTAAAGCAGTTTCTGAGAAATACGACACGAGGCAACCGTGACTTGTTTTGTGAGAGGTTTCAAATGATTTTTAATTTGATAAAGCTCGAATCCAGCACGTAGTGTACAACAACTTTATAAATATAGCTAGATTTATGATGACAAATGAACTTTCCTGCGATTAAAGGCTGATATCCTGTGTTTTGGTTTAGCCATCTGAAATTTCATGAGCGTTCAGGTGGAGATTTTCAAGTCCAATTTCAGAAATGTGAACTGTAATTTTCTCTTAGAATCCTTCACACACATGATGGGCAAATAAAGTCTGAGATATTGCTGTTCTTCCCAGAAATTGTGCCAAGTTTCCATTATTAAAAGAGTTGGTGGTACTACCTGTGCTTCCTCTATATTGAGTATGATTCTGTCCAGGAAAATTATTTTATTCTGCACATGGAAATGTATAACATGACAATTGCCAATCAATAGATGGAGTCACACCTGTAAATTATGATTATTTTATTAGATATTGACTTTTAACTAAAATACGTTTTTTTAGAAGTAATACCCGTAACTCACTATTCTCCATGTTGAACACATGGCAGAAGGCATATAATTACCTGTAAATGGTATTTGATTTGTGTTTGTATTGATTGATATCTATTGAATGCCACATAATGGGAAGTGATTCTGTCGGTCACTGTTTATTCCTTCCTTAACCCCCGCACATCCCTGGTCCTCTCACGTTTGTCACGTGGTAATTCTTTTTCCATCTGTCTTTTGTTCTTTTATTTCTTTCTTATACTTGCTTTATCTTATTTTATTTTTAAATTGCAGAAGATGATGTTGAGAATGACAATGATTACAGTGTCCCTTCTGATGGTATTAATGAATTGAACAAGGTATTATGCTTCGTATTTTAACTTTATGATTGGATGGTGATAGTGCAAAATTTAGTGACCTCAAATTTGTTTGTACGGTCGAGTGATACGATGTTCCTCCTCTATGGTTACTTCTCCTGGAAGGGGAAAGAAAAATGAGTATTCCCTTTTTATCTAAAACACTCAAATATCCTCAGCTGTGGACATGGAGCTCCCTCTATTAAATCTGACATGAGAATCATGGAGAAATGCTCTGGATGAGCCTGGGAAGGAAGAAGAAGGTTCTTGGGCAGAATGAAAAATATTCCAGCGAATCTTCTCTGTTCTTTTAGAACCTTGTTTCGTCTTGAGTACTGGATTATTAAGGTGGACTGGAATTTAAGACTTCGAAGGTTTAGACAGTGCTTTGGCTGGCACTCTGGAAGATTCAGCATCCAGTATAGGGTGAGTGGGTAGTTTGAGTCCCATCTGAGAGAGGTGAACATGTCTGCAGTTTCTTGGTGATTTTAATGATTATAATTTGTGCCCTTGTTTTCAGTACAGGATGGGGACTGAAATTTGGAATTAGACGTGGAATATGGAAGCATTTTTGGTTTTGAAAAAACAACTCAAACAAGTTCCTTTTCATTCAATTTAGAAAACGAAAAACAACAGTGTAGGAAGAAAGTGGTATTGTTGAAGGGGGAAGAACTCCAGAATATGAAATTGCTTCAAGCACCACCTCACCGAAGAACAGGAAGTTTTAGATTCATCTTTTTTTTTAAGGGGGATCAAAGGATTTTTGCAACGATCCAGACCTCGTGCCCAAGCAATTCTCTTACGTAATTGCTTAATTGGTACCATGATTCAACTTAAATATCTCATAATATAAAAGTATTGGGTTTGAATTCAGAGGACAAAATAGAAATACGTGAAGAAATCCGTAAGAGGGTAAGATGGCCTTTCTGTCGAGATGAAGGTCGTCCGCATCTTCACAAACATGTATATTTTACCAAGCCTCTCTTCGGCACAGTGCCCAGATCGTGGATTGGATTGGATTTCACTTGATCATCTACGGTTCCATTGTGTGCTCGGGGTAGAAGTTTTGTATAAATGTATCTTCATGATATTAAATAATTGATTTAATTTCTTTTCTTTCTAAGAGGTGGAATGAAATAACTTGGTTGTCACAATCTTTTAGAAAACCCTCAGACCAGATGCTTAGACTACGAAAGGATTTGTTTTGGTGAATGTGCCACAGTTTCCTCCTATTTTTTATTTTATTTTATTATTATTTTTTTAAAAGACGAAGAAAGAAATTCTATTTTCTCCCCTATTTACTACGACGGCGGCAATAGGGTAAACCATTACCTCTTAGGCCCCTGACTGATTCGGTCGATGTAGATGTCCTCCCAAAGTGGACTGTACATAAGAAAATGGTTTGGACATGAGGTTTGGATCATTACAAAAAAGGTGCATTTTTTGTAACGGCTTGAACCTTAGTGCCCAAGCAGTTATATTATACGTACTGTCCACTTTGAGAGAGTCAGAACTCATCTTACCCATACTGAATTTCTTTTGCATCTTTTAGGATTCGAACTTAAGACCTCAGTCTTATAAGAAATTTAAGTTGAATCCTGATACCAATTGAGGCTTAGCTCTCCCAAAGCGGATAGTACATATGCTAATTTATAGAATAATATGCAAGTTTTTCTGTTGATTTTACATTGATTTGTATAATTTATTATTTTTCTTGTAATTCCAGGAAGAAATCTATGATTCTAAATTAGTATGATCTATGGACCACCTTCAGTTGAAAGTCATAATGACGCCGTGAAAGAAAAGCTAATTTAAATATTTGCTTTCTAATTTGTCCCAGCTAATTTTATTTATCAGTGAAACATGATAGCACCAGGCTTTAGTTCCTGCTAGAATTAGACAGGATGATGGAAGTTATACTGACGGTATCCACATACAATCTACACTTTAGGTTGCTGCTGGATTTGAGAACAATTACTACTTTTCTTTAGCATTCTTCTTTGCAAATTGCTGATAAATGTTGCTCTGTATTTTTGAGTAATGATTTAGAAGGTAACTGATATCTTCCTGTCATTAACTTATACCAGCCACTTTGCACACAATTATCATTCTCAGAATTGTTTGCTCTGTAAGGTGCTTTCGCTAAAAAACGTTAACAACACATGACTTTGACTGATTGGCATTTGGTTCATTTTGATGCTATTATATGTCCTTAAATGTGTTATGAACTATGGAATATTAATAATGCTTTAAAAAGTTCAATTCCAGCTGTTGAATCATATTAGCCGAGCAATTGCCGTTAAACATGTATTTACTTCTCTTGATGACAGGGGACTTTGTCGGAAGTGATAGAATCCAGACGGGGGTCTCATTCTAGATTGAGGAAGAGTGAAACCAAATATATAATTGAACAGCTAATTTTGCAGGAGATGTTCTCAAGGTAATTAATTGAATTTTTTGTGCTGTCCTTTTCATTTCTGTTTGTTACTTTTTTTTTTCTTATATTTTCTTTCTTCTATCTTAGCTTCTTCGCTGTTCTGAGTTTTGCGAGCTGTTTTTTTATAAGTACGTGTCGGGTTGTTGAATTAAAATTATTGCCAACTAATTTCAGATCGTTGCCCAAACTTCTCTTGTACTTTTTGTATTTTCTTTCTCGTGTCTCCTTTTAATGATTTAGGGATCAAACTTATTGATGACAGCTTGTGGCAATGTGCATGGAAAAGCATACAGTCATTGGAAAAGGATTTTACTTCAGTACTTCGTGTAGTATCTAACGCTTGATGTTATACCTTTATCAGGGAAGAGTGTGATAGGTTGACGAAAATGATCAACTCTCGTGTTGTGGATTATTCCACAGTGGAAGCTGGGCAGACAAGTCTACTCACTGTGTCTCCTGGGGAAACAGTTGGCAATGGTATTGCTTATTAAAAAAATTCTGGGTAATCTAGTTCCAGACTGTTTAGATCACCGATTGAGTTTTCCTTTCATGCACAGAAAATATTAATTTCTTCAATAAAACTGCTATGGAAGCAAAAAGGTGGCTTGAAGAGAAGAAAGTGGGATCAAGCCCAGTATCTGACTTGGCCTATGGAACCTGTGGGTTCAACTCCATTGTGCTAGAAAATGTCAGTAATTCTTTTTATGTGATACTGCTGAACAATTGTGTGTTATCAATTTCTCTTGATCATGTAGTGTTTCAATATTTCTTTATTTTTTCGAATTGTTATGTCTTGTACCATTGTAAATTTTTTCCTTTGATCTCGTGACTCAAAAAATTTGTTCTTTTGCCTTCACAAGTCAATTTGTGTGCCTAGATTTATGAAGAAATTTGTTGTGAAATGTTGTTGCCAAAATGTTATGATACTGAGTTGATTAATGCAGATAGGAAGTGAAGTTGGTTCTCCTGTGGATGTGGCCAAATCCTACATGAAGGTCCGTCCACCTTGGATCTCTCCCTCCAAACAAATTGAAGTAAGAACCCCATCAACAATGACAATGGAGCCTTTTAAGGAAGGAACACAATATTCTGTCGGCAATGACTCTTTGTCTTCATTGAAGGTGCATTGGTTATATTTTCTTTATGCATTCCATTATTGTTGGTGTTAAGTAATGCTCAATCTCGACTGTGCCGATGTCCATTTGAACATCTGAAGCATTATCATTTTTTTAAATTGCAGAAACTGTTGCTTTATGTTTTCAAATAGAAACAGTCTTGTCTTGTATTGAAATTTTTAGAATCTCATATTATATGCTTTAGTAGAAACTTCCTGCAAGTGTGAAGTTGCCTGGGGTACATCACCTTGTTAAGCGGGATCAATGGTTCTTTATGTGTCACTTAAACCTACACGCAGCATTTTTAACACATCCAATTGTTGTTTATACATTGATGATACAACTATCATCGCCTGTTTTATGCCTCTTTGATGTCTTTACATAAGAAATATCTGTAAATATCTGTAAATATCCGTAGTTGATATTCTCACTTGCATAAATTAGTTAGGTTTTTAATGTTTTTTAGAATTGCAATTAATTCTTGTTCACCCTTTCAATTTCTTTCGCCTCGTGGTTTTCTCAATTTGTCCTTATTGTTCATTCTGGCATAATGCAATTGGAATGTGGCAGAAACGGAATTCCCTTGCCTCTGGATCATGGAATATCCAGGAAGAATTACGAAAAGTGCGTTCAAAGGCAACAGAAGATATGCTACGCTCTCTATCCTCTAAAATTGATCTGTCACTTTCCCCTAAAAGTAGTCTCGAGTACTTGAGAACTGATATAGCAGCAGCTAATGTGTTGGAGAACAAGAGTGAGCTGAATTCTTCCACATTAACTAAGTCAACAGATGCACCTCCAAACCCGGATGCAGGAGTCAGATCTAATCCTGGCCTGTCAGGTTGTTATTTTCGGTGTTCAACTTGTCTTTTGGGGTAAATTCATATGTATAAATTATAAGGAATTGGATTTGATATAATTGTAAAAATTTGTAATTGAGTTGCATCTCTCTTTCAGCTTTGGATTCAAGGCAAGATGGTGGGGCAAAGAAAACATTTCCATCCAAGTCAACTACTTTTGTAACTGGAAACAATGAGGTAACTGGTTAGCTGAATAGGTTCTTATAAGCTGTTGATTCTTTTTTGAAATGTGTTGAATCTTAGAAGTCATGTTGGTTAAGAGTGTGTGTGTCAATCTGCCAGGGTACCTTTTTACTGAATAGATTTTCGCTTTATTGTTTTTAAAAGGATTCAGAAGCTATTTTGATTGACGGTGAATGCACTGCCTCCAAGCCTCCTCACCCTACCAGTCCCAATGATGTTGCAGAGCATCATGATGGTATGTAGCATTTCCTCTCTGTTTTCTTTTGTTGGTTTGTCATACTATAGCAATGTGATAATAGGGCTCCAAATTTAGACCCACCCAATCCAGTACGTGAAGCACTGGAGGATTGTATTCCTATTCTGGCCCCATTTTTGAGATAGCACACTAAGCTCTTGAGGATGGCCTTTTTTACGGTTGTAGAGGATGGTGATTAAACCCTGAATTCATAGGTTACTATGAAGAGTGTATAGTACACTGTTTCACAACGGACAGATATATTATAAAACATATGTGTAGGTTTCGCTCTTCCTGAAATGGTGGATCAGATGGACTTGTTAAAAAACTGTTACTCATCAGAAGAACAAACCTAAAAAAAATAAACATTTAGTCACATACTATCTAATATTTTAGCCTGCAACTATTTGGACAAGGCTTTTATGAAATAAAAAAGATAAAGTAAACAGTTGTTCTCTTTAGCTATCCCCTGGCATATCTAGATATTACTAAAAGGAACAGGCACAATGTGTCCAATTGATTGTACTTGTAAAGATTTATTCGTATTGTTACAGACTTCCAATTCACAAGGAAAAACAGAGAGATGAATATGAATGTGCCATGCTTATTTCAAGGATGTTATATTGGGGCCATAAGAAGCGAACACAACCTAAATTTGACAATTACAATTCTCTCCTCATGAAATAAGCATCTACAATGTTATCTGCAACTGTTTGTTTATAAAGTCTAAGATTTGTCCATTTATCTCATTTAAATGAAATAGAAAAGCTTCCAAAAAAATTGTAAATTTAATCTGAAGCACTGTACTGTCTTGAATCAACTTGAAATAAAATAGAAAATTAATGAAGAAATAGTATTGACATAGTAAAACTTTTCCTAGAATGGAAGAACCCTGACACCTGTTTTGAATTTTTTAGAAGAGAAGCCTAGCATTAAAATGTCTTTCATATTGCAAACCACTTAGTTGAGACTGCGATCTTTAGGTTTAGCATTTGATGTCAGTCGGGTCCGTACGACGAACGTAACAATTTGACAGCAAACAATTAAAGCAGAAGAGAAATGAGAAATAGAATAAGATTTAGAAGAGACGATTTAGAGAAGAAATATAATTGTATTCAATATTCAAGTTTAACTATTAAAATGCACAAGCCTCTTCATATAGGGCATAGAAGCTAAAATCAAAAGAACTTCAAATAAACTAGAACCTTTTCAAAATATTAAAACTAATCTAATCTAATTTTAATAAACATAATTTGAATAAAATTCTACTTCAAAATCCTATCTTCATTTCTCATCAGTCCGTATTACAAATGGGAAGGGAGGGGATGAAAAAAGGATGTTAACCTTCCCAGAGTGAAGAGTATCTCACTTCTATTTGTTGGAAGGAAGGGAATACAAAGGGAAAATGGAGATTAATTCCCATATTATTTTATCCTTCTGTTGTTAATATTTCTTTTCATTTGAAAATGTTTTGATCCACTTTCTTTTAAATCCTTCTCCAACTTTTCCAATTGAGAGAATTTTGAATGTGGATGGATTGATTCTCGTCCTCCCATTGCTTTTCCTACCAGACAAGGGATATAGTCCCCCTCCTTCCTACCAACGAATTGGTATAGTTCTTGCCCCGTTTGTTTTGAATCTTTTTGTATGGGTTTGGACCCCTTTTGAATCAAACCAATAAAGGGGATAATATTACCTTAAGCAAAGAACAAGCAGTCTCACTCACTGTCTCTTCATTCTACCTCGATGTAATTCTTATGGCTACTCAAAATAATTTGTTTTGGGCACTGTTGGCTTCTCAATCATTTTTGTTGGATGGGATGTTATATAATCTCTCTTATGCAGATCCACATTCAAGTGATGTAAATGGTACCGTGGAAAATAGGGAGACTGAATTTGGCAGATTATCAAGTTCAGATGGTTATCCATCATCACAAACCAGGTGAAATTAGGGATGGTCTCATTCATTTATTGCCCTCTGTTTGTTTGATAAAAATAGAAGATCTCATACTACGCATATGCTTAGTCTTATACGTAATTGCTGCTTTTCTTGTCAGTTTGTCTGCACGAGTAGGTGCAGGAGAAAATGATGGGCCATCTGATGAGGGAAACCATAATAACACCGTAAGCCAGAAGAATTCGACTAATACGTTTCCTGTGGAAGATAAATGCGAGCTTCTCAGTGAAACATATATAGAAGTCCCAGTTTTAACTGATTTAAACAGTGTTAAAACTGGCTCTCAGAATAGTTTTAGCATGCAACCCGAAGAATTTTCACCAGAACTGACTCAACCAGCAAAGAAACAAGAGTTGGCAGAGAAGGTCGATGGTTTGGCTGGGAAGCCCCAAGGAAAAAGATTGGTCAAATCTAATCGGAGGGGCAGAGGAAGAGGTAAATGACCGCGATATCATAATATGTATATTAGCATTTTAGATCGTATGCTAGATTAGACATGACGTTCCACTCGTACTGTTGTAGAATTCCGTTTGATTAATGCTACTCTAGGCTACAAATTATATCATTCTTGTGTTGACTTGAAGCAGATTTTTAATTTTCTGTTCATATCGTCGAACCTAGTATGATAGCATAATTTAGACTTTCACAATTCATCTTGCTAATATTTGTTTCTATGTAATTCTTAGGTTAGTGACTTTTGAGTATCTCGAGTCGTATTTTATTGTTAACTTATGTTGAAATTTGTTGGACTTTTTTTTGTTTTTTTGTTTTTAACTGCTATATTTCAGTTTAAGCATGATTTGTTTTAGGATTTCCATGCATATGTTGAAACTGAATTGGAGGTACAAATATTTTTAAACGAGGTACTCAGGTAATTGCAAGAAGCAGAAGCTCCTTGAAAAAAAGGTTGAAATGGCATCAAAACGAGGTTAATTACTGATAAAAATAGGGACGTAGCAAATTTAGTGCTTGATTGGTAGGGATTTTTGGAGGAAGAATTGATTTTTGAATAGTGATATGATGGGAAATGTGTGGTTGAAAAAGAAGAAAAAATTATTGATGTGATGAAAAATATTATTTATTGAAGAATGTGGTTGAAAATGAGAATTGATTTACTGTAGAAAATTATAATTCCTCCCAAACAGGGCCTTAATCATCAAGGACAAGACATTTAATCATTGTGTAGTAACTGGAAAGTGTCAGAAAAACTTCCTTGACTGA